CTTCCATTATGTCTTCTCTAGAACCATACAGAGTCTATAACGGTATCAAATTTCTCATTTGTAGGTTCAACGGTTTTATATGTACCGTTAACGGTTTATAAAGCGTTATTTCTAAAATCCTATCTTCATCTGGCTTTCAGTTACTATATCTGGTTTCAGTTTCTAATAATTTATCTTTTCTGGTACACCCATTTTCTTCCATAACTGTTGCAGTGTCGAAAATATCCATCTACAACTCTCTCCATACCATTATCTGATGCGTTGTCTGTACGAGTGACCTCATCAGCTTTCCTTAACTACATCAGATATACCTGCATATTTGAGTCGATAGAGAAATCYGTGCCTTTATAACTGCACCTTTAGCTAGTTCTGATAAAGACATGTACCTACAGGTTTTTCTTTAGCGTTAATTGATACATACCCCTTGAGTACCGTTACTACTTCTATGTAGCTGTTTCTATATGTAACTATATCAGCATCTATCTCCATCTCTCTGAAGTTCTCTATATATCTTTATATATGGTAACAAATCATTTATCCTTCTGTATCTCTCATTATAAGATGTATTATAAAACTTACTGTCTCTAAAATCTTGTCATTTCCTATGCCTTCATATTTACATTTTTATATAAGAAACTTATCTGCCTTTCCTCTATATTGCAAAAGCAGTGCTGCCTTTCTGTCTCCTTCTATCTCTGTTTATTCATAAGCTCATTTTTCTTTACTCGTAACTTTTTTCTTTCGCTTTCTCTTAACGTAAATCTGCCGCTCACTTTTTAGAAAATATTTTTCTTTACTGTTTCCATAATAAAAATTATTTTGCCATATTTCAATGCTGATCCCGCCCAATCACTCATTAAAAATATTGCTCGGTATCGATTTCAATACTATTCGCAATGTCGATCTCTCTTATTCTCTCACTAAATTTCTGCACTATTTCAATATTTCTATTTTTCAAATCTCAATGTTTGATCCTTCTCATTTTCGCACAAAAAATATTTTTCAGCGTTGTTTCAATATTAATATTAAAGCCTATCCTTAGATTTCGCTATCAGTAAGTTTAAGTCTACTATTCTTTTTTCAAATCTTTTTCCATTTATCTCTCATTCATTTATGTTTTCCTTTTTCTCCTGCAACATACTTTTCTCTCATGCAACACTGTAGCAACATTATTATCTCATTATCAGCGCTAGCAACATTTGCCCAACGTATACATGTTGCTAACGCTGTCGTTGGCGCTTATAAACTTAAATTTTACATTAAAGCTAAGCTAATCGTATTTGTGGCTCGAGTTTTGTGAGCGTTTTCACACAGTTACACACATGAATTATTGCTTAGAAACAAATTAAATACCCATTTCAGTATTATTTCAAGAACTAAGGTTATTGTACATACAATATTGTATATATATATAAAGTGTATATATATATTATGTACATACATGTATATATATGTATACAAACAAATAAGTAAATATGTATATGTGTGTGTTCGTTATATAACATAAAATTAATTTACAAAGTCAATTTACAGTACAGAATGTATGTACATGTACATGTATGTATTTCTATAACTGTATATTTCTATAAATGTGTGTGTATGTGTGTGTCGAGGTTAACAAATTCAGTTTTAATACACAAACTAACAACACCAAATACTTTTAAACATTTTTTTTTACAAATTTGTATTAACACATTTTTAGTACACAACATGAAGTTAATTTTTGTTGTTTTTGTATTTTAACTTTTTTTGCAAACATTCTCATGCCATTAGAAAAAATTCTGCTGTCTTTTTCAACTTCATTACAAACTCCACGGCATTTACATACATTTTTTTCTCGGCAGCCGCGTAGCAATTTTAGCAACATGTTGCGGCAACATCTTTTTAGTAGCAACAGCAACATCAGCGCATGCAACAAGCGTGTCGTATACGCTTGCATCGCGCATAACAACAATAATGCGCTGAGAGAGCGATGATAGCGCAGGCATGCTAAGTAATGCTAGCGTTTCAATTGAGTGAATGAGAGAGAGAGAGCGTATATATTTAAGAGCGCACGCTGAGTTTGTGTGCGAAAGCGCGCATTTGAGCAGCTTAGAGAGAGGGTGTGTGTGTGTTTGATAGAAGCTTTAACAACCATTCAACCATTTAATGTGAGAGCAATAAATCAACTCAGCAATCGTAGTCTACCAGTCTAGAAAATGGAAATTATTTTGCTTTAAATATAAGTAAAAAAAATAGTAAAATGCAAATCAAAATTTGATGGCATGATAAGGAAGGCGATGGAGTGAAAACGAAATTGTATGAATCAGCATAAGCCGAGCGGCTGAATGAGAGACATGAGAGAGAGAGAGAGAGGGAAAGAGAGAGTGAAAGAGAGGAAGACGAATATGCAATGAAACTGAATAAGACAAATGAAAGCTTCGCAATGAGTAGAGCAAAAACATCTAAATGAAATGAAAGCTTTGAAAAGTTGTGAAAGTTCCTCAGAAATAGCGGCAGTTCTCAGTGACTTTGGAGAGGCAGTAAGTGCAATATGAAACGGTTTTGGAAAGTGAAATATATCTGGCAAACAGTTCTAATTTACTGATCTAAAAATTCTTTTTTTCTACATTTTACTTTATTGTAATATAAAAAAGCTCAGCTCTCTTCAGCTATTAACTTTCAGAGCTTTAGGCTGACAATTAAGAGTAAGTAAAGTGGTCGCTAGAGCGAGTAACGCTCAGGTCTTTTATTTTGCTGAGTCACATTGAACTATTAATGCTTTGAAGACTCAAATGTGGTTGCTTTTTGGGTCTAAACCAATTTACAAACATATATCTAATCTCCGGTTATCTATTTAAGTATTTTTTATTACATATGAGTTAGCCCACATCAGCGAAAGCTTCTTATGTCTGAACTAAGTAATTCTGAGGTTGTAAACTCCTTCATTAGTCAATCTACGTCTTTCAAACTAACTACTTTATCAAAGGTCTTGTCAAGCGAAGCTACCWCATTCTAACTAATTCAATAACGCGTGCGATCATTAAGATTTTGTACCTTTTGAGTATCCAACACTGTACTACTCACTTTCCCAGCCTCTGCCTATGCCAACTGATCACCGCCAACATTTCCACCGCCCTCAACTACGCCACTACCACCATTAACGCAGCCGCCGCCACCGCCAACACCTTCCGAGCCACTAGTAGCTACAACGCCACTTTGGACCGCGAAGTCGCGCTCATAAAGCAAGCTACCTCGTATTACGCCCTCACCACCMGACATCGAATTGCAATAAGAACGTGGACGCACACGACCGGCGGCATCACGCCGACCACTACGTCGATTAACATGCGGCGCAGCTTCGGCATTAACTTGCGCCTGGCGCTGCTGTGATTGCGATGGCGTATCAACAGCTTTGGCATCACGCCGCATCGAACCGGTTGTGCTCGACGCGGAGGCCAAACGATCATAACTCTTAGCGCGCACAATGCTGAAGCCCGCGTCCACTATGTAGCCGGGCGGCGCGTCACGCACCTGATCGCAAAAATTCGCCGATGTGTTCACGTGATGCGCAGCCGGCTGCGCTGGCTGATGGTGATGGTAATTATGCGACTGTTGCTGTTGTTGTTGACGTTGACGACGCGCAATACGCGAAGCGACCGGCGAACGCGGTACATACTGTGTGGGCATKGCATATTTTTCGGTCACCTCCGGTGAGAGATCCGGATAGGGCGCATGACCGGAACGTGGTTGGAAAATGTGTGGACGTGGCGCAGGAGGTGGTGGAGGCGTAACCTCTGAGGGTGAAATGGGCGTGTCGAATGAATGTGCCGGTATAGTGGGTAATGGAATGTTTGTGGGTCGTGGCGGCTGCTTGGCGACGGGACTCATCAGGTGTGACTGATATGGCGCTGACATTGGCGGCGACGTATGCGTGGGTACCGGTGGCGGCACCGGTATGGGCTTATTGTAGGCTGGATGGAATGGTAGGCCGTTCTGTTGGTAGAGAAAACGATTGGCAGGATTCAGTAGTGGCTGTGGTGAATGCTGCGKTTGCGCGCCTGACACAATCTGCGCGCTTTGCTGTAGTTGTTGTTGTTGCGGTTGCTGTATGTGTGGTGGACCCGGCGAATGCATGTGCATGTGTTGTGACGCTTGCGGTGGCGGCGTATAATTGTAGGCAGGTTGCAACACCGCGCCGCGCTCTAAAAGTATCTCAACATCGCCACCGTTCTCCGGCAGCGGCGGTGGCGGCGCCAGCTGTGAAATGCTGCGCGCAAACTGCGGCAACGCATTATTGTTGATGGTATTTGGACTAGCAYTGTTGTTGTTRTTATTGTTWGGCGACATCTGTGCGCCGGCGTACGAGTTCAACGACACATACGAAGGATTATTGTTCTGGCCGACAAAGAGCGCGCCCGGCGTTGGCTTCTGGAAGGGCACATAAGTGACGCCATCGTCGGTTTTGAAATTCTGCAGCGAGAAGTTATCATCTTCCAGACCCTCCTCCAGGTTGCGTGACAAACGCTCATTGGACATTTGTGTATACTTGATATCGGGACGGTGAACGTTAGTCATGGAGCCGCCGGTGCCGGTGCCCGCGCTACTGCCATTCAGGCTCGCAGCGCCACTGCCATTRTTGATGAAACTGCTGTAGCTCGTGGACTTGGGTGGTTTGGGTTTGGCGTGTATRCGCGCGAAATGGCCGCCRCCGACGCCGCTGCCCACGCTACCGTTATTATTATTGTTATTCATATAGTTAGCGGGATTACTTAGCACAATGTTATTGTTAATGTTCTTGTTGTTGTTGTTGTGGTTGCCACTATGATTACTATAATTATTATTCAGACTATTGCTGAGGCTAAACTGACTATTGCTAAGTGGACTGAGCGTGGCCTGCGACGAGGCGGACGTCATGCCACCGCCGACGCCAGCGACACGCCCATAACCACCGACGCTGCCACCGCCACCCATGTGCCCACCRACACCACCGCCACCACTACGACTACCCCCCACACTACCTCCGCCGCTGCCGGTGCCGGTGTAAGCGAACCCAACACCGGGGCCGCCGCCGCCGAAACCGCGCAAGCTCTGTGTCAAATTCAAATTGGAATTCTGCAGCGAAGCGTACGAGAGCGACGAGGTGGTGTTGTCGTGCGTCGACGAATTCGGTGTGCCAACTTGCTGTTGTTGTTGCTGCTGTTGTTGATATGTTGTTGCGCCGTTCAAGAACTGTCGTCGATTGCTGTTCGTATACAGCTGATCCGCCTTGGCGGTGCTGTCGTCATAATAATGCTGCGCGCCATGTAAATTGGCGGTATGCGTTTGTGGCAGCGATTGYTGACGCTGCAACATCTCCGTTGCCACCACAATCGTATTGCCCGTCGTGGCGCCAATCTTATTGCTACTCTTCGGACTGTAAAGTATGCGTGTTAAGGTGCTATTTTTGCTCGCGCTGTGATAGTTGCTGTTGCCATCGCCGCCGCCACTGCCGCCACGACCTTTCTTTGACGCRCCGCCGCCACCACCGCCGACGCCGTTGCCACCGCTCTGGCTATTGCTGCGGCTGTGGCTGCGGCTGCGACTATTGCTATGACTGTGACTCTGACTCTGACTCTGACCTTGACTATGACTATGATGGCTATGGCTGTTGTTGCTGATGCTGTTTGTGTGTATTAGAAATGTGTTACTGTTAAAATTATTTGGTTGCTGATGATGGTGGAGTTGTTGCTGCTGCAGTTGCAGTTGCTGTTGTTGCGCATGAATTTGGTGGTTGTGGTTGTTATTGTTAAGTGGTGCTTGGTGATTGTTGTGATGCTTATTTGAGAGCAATGTAGCGCTAGCGCTAGCCGAGGTCGGTATGCTGCTGTAGCTCACGTACATTGGATGGACCACCGTGTGCTGGGGACTCTTGGCGTCGCCATTCACGAAATCGACTGTAAACCAAAGAATTATAATTGTTGTAGATTGGCTTGTTGTTGGCATATGGAACTGTTTTTTTAATCAGTTGCTTGTTTGATTTTGATTTTGTTTTAGATTTTTTCTTTTTTATTAATCTTAATATTTTTCATTTGAATTTTGTCATTTTTTTTTCATTTTACAAAATTTTCATTTTTTTTTTTTACTAAAAAGTAATTTTGAATATTTTTAAATCGAAAATAAATATACAAATATAATTTACAAAATTATTTTGTTCTCATTTGTGGGCTTGCACAAAAATAAATAAAAAATTATAATTCAAATTTTGATGATGTTTGTTGTTAAGTTRTGTGTTTGATTTTGCTTCTGTTTTCATTTTCTTTTCTTTGTTGTTGTTTTTGTAATGTTTATGTGAATATGTGACAATGTGTGTTTGGTTATTGTATAGTCGATATAATGATGTTTATATATATACTTTACATACATAAATAGGTACATGTCGTTATGCTTGCGGGACATTCAATAGATTTACAACATACATACATACGTACATAATTACAAATACACACATATAAACGATAAATTTGCGTTCGGGAAATAATAACAGTTCATAATTGTATAAAGTTTATGCAAATGTTTTCGTGTCACAATTCATAAAAATAAATATATATAGTTTTCGATTTTTAATTTTATACACAAAACAATTAGTAAGGTGCTTGCAAGCGAGTGATGATAATGTTGCTCTAAAAGAGGTCAGCAGTTCTTGAAAACTGAGCGGAAGTGTGAAAGCTCTCTTTCAGCTAAAAAAAAAAAAAAAAAAGTCATAAATACACAAGGCAGGCTGACGAGTGCTATTCTGGAGAAGGAATTTGGACATCAAAATATTAACTTCCAAAATTTTTTGGAATCAAAGAGGCTGACACATGATCGAAATAAATGAAAGTGTCTCATCTTAGTCCTTTGCTCCCACGCGGTGCCATAAAATAGAGTATACTTAAACGGATGATACAAATAGAGTTACTTTTTACCACAGCATTTGACATATCACGCATGAGTCGTGTAAAGCTGTCATGTTATTTTTGTTCAGTACTGTTTGGCATTTCATTATGGAAAGATTTACGTCTGAATAACATTTACAAATCGCTCAACTTTATTACGAAAAGTCACGTGCGGTATAGAATGTATTTCACGCGCTTCGCTCAACTTATGGTCCACATAATCAATCTAATGAGCGCACTATTCTCAACACCATATCCCATCTTAAGACCCAGCATTCATTATTGAATATTATTCGACCGAATAGACCACGCCCGGCACGCTGTGAACAAAACATAGAAGCCGTAGCTGAGAGTGTATACGAAGACCGCAGAGAGTCCATGTCCATTAGGCGCCGTTCGCAGCCAGTCGGACGCATTGTACAACGAGATCTTAAATTAAAAGCGTACAAAAAACAGCTTATGCAAGATCTAAAGCTACTCGACCTTCCCAAGTGACATCGCTTGACTCTTTGGGCTCTCACAAAGTTCGAAGAAGATCCGGCGGTTTCAAGTCAAATTTTGTTCAGTGATGCGGTCCATTTCTAGTTCAATGAATAYGTAAACAAGCAAATGTGTCGCATAWGCGACGAAGAGCAACCTGAAGAGATTCAAGAGMTACCATTTCATTGAGAAAAAACAGTTTGTTGTGSYTTGTGGGCCGATGGAATCAAAGGGTCATATTTCTGCAAAAATTATAGCGGTGAAACCGTAACCGTCTATGGCGACTATTATCGCACTATAATAATGTCGGCGACAATTTGTTTCAACAAAACAGCGCCACTTCTCATAAATCGCATCAATCAATCGTTTTATTCAGAGAACGCACAGAGAGCAGATAATTTAACGTTTTGGACCGGTCGATTAGTTATCAAGACTTTTTTCTCTGGAGATATGTAAAGTCTACAGTTTATGCGGACAATATCGCTTCGATTCAGGCCTTGGAGCTGAACATCACACGAGTAACCAAAAATTGGACTCAACAGATGTCAGAATAGTCATGGCTCTATAGCATTTTCTTTTAGCAGTATCATTGTGGTTGCTTTCATTTTTCAAAAAAATATGTACCCATACACCTTAAATAGTAATTTTCGAGAACGTAACTGCGTCTTCACGATGTTCTAAGGATTATCATCATATATTGCATTTGGAGACAATTCATTGGAAAATGTGGTACCTCTTCAAACAAAAATGAGTTTCAGCGAATGAACTTGTTTCGGTCTTCTTCGAAACACTGCATCCCAGCAGCCATACCGTCCTTGTGGCGGAATGTACGGTCTCTCTTAGTATGCGCTTTATCCACTAGAGTATACGTGGTGCGAAAGCGATCCATGGCTGCTTGAATTACCGACTTTATTTGGGGATTTTGTCTACAGAATTTGGGACGCAGTGAACGATGCGTCGCGTGAACCAAACCATTAGTAATAAATTTGAAGGATTTGCACCGGGGTCGGAATATAAATGGTGTCAAAAAGACCAACTTTAAAAAAAGTATTGCCTAACTGAAAACCCATTATTATAAAACAAACAGATACTTCATCATGCATAGCCGGTGGATGTACTTATACTTATTTGATTGAATTTTCAAGTATGAAAAGCCAAGGGATCCGTAATAACAAATATGAGTTGTTTGGTAATGTCTTCCGTGCTTTGGTACTGGTTATGATGAATTATTAGATTAAGATTAAACTCATTGGAATAGATCAATAATCTGGCAATAACCACGCCTAAACTCCATCAGACAGTCGATTATTAATTGAGATGGACAGTGATGACAAAGTRWCAGCTTGTTTCTGTTWCTATTTTGTAGTGCTTTTGACAGGAAATACATGGATTTGTGGCTTCRTGAAGTAAAGTAGGAGGCCTTTTTGACAATTAGTACTTCTCGCAAATGATTTATATCGAGCCCACCTAAGTAGGTCAGAAATTTCTTCATTACTTTGGACAAATTCGAAGCTATGAATTAACAATTAACTGAGAGCGGACTTCACTTCGATCATTTTTCGTTTGAAAGAAACTCTTCTTCATCTCCTCTTTGACTATGTCGCTAAACTATTTCTGACGTGAATCTCGAATCGAATCTCCTTTCTCACTTCTTCCACTGCCGCATTCTTCTACGCAATCACTCTACTTTTAATCAATTTAAACTMAAGGATTCACAAATAAAGAGAGCACACACTCGTTGACACAAACATTAGCACATATGACATTGAGCAYCGAGCAAATAACAAATGATTTCTTCTATTTTTTCAATAAAAATATAAACACAATTTATGTATGCTCAGCACATGATAACGCTTGATATACAGACGATGAATTAGACATACAACAACATATATACAACGAAAA